ATTTCGAAGAAGAATGAGTCCTTTGGGAAAATGAACAAACTTTATTTCGTAAATTTTCTAGTCTGGTTCCCCAGCTCGTCTTCAGACGTGTAATAAGTGTGAAGAAACAGTCAAAATTTAAACAATGCCGAAAAAATCGATATTGCTCTGTCATGACTGAGGATGGGCTAATGCTGTGGGCTGATGTCACGTCGTGATTGGCTATTACCTTTTCCATTTTTCTTTGAGACTTGTGTACATGTTATCAAGGTCGATGCGTCGATTGATGCATGAGTCATCAGAGTGAATGGCCTCTAGGAATTCTCGGCCTTTCTTATATGGGCAGGAACCGACAATGCGTGTTTTATCCCAAGCGAATTTGTGCCCAGTTTCAAGAGTATGCATGGCGACTTGGGATAAGTGGTCCCGCCTCTTCACTGCCAATTGGTGTTCATGATCGGAACTAGATTGTTCCGATCAGACGCCAAAACCAAAACATTGGCGAACGCTTCCCTACATTAAAAATGTGTCTGAACTCGTTGCAAGACACCTGAGGAAGCACCAAATACAAGTGGCTCACAAACCGACTACCACGCTACGCAATCAGCTTGTACACCCTAAGGATAGGGTTGGCTATTTGGATAAGAAAGAAGTAGTCTATAAGATTCCATGTGGCACTTGTAATGCAGTGTATTGTGGTCAAACCGGAAAATCCGCCTCTACACGCCTACATGAACACCAATTGGCAGTGAAGAGGCGGGACCACTTATCCCAAGTCGCCATGCATACTCTTGAAACTGGGCACAAATTCGCTTGGGATAAAACACGCATTGTCGGTTCCTGCCCATATAAGAAAGGCCGAGAATTCCTAGAGGCCATTCACTCTGATGACTCATGCATCAATCGACGCATCGACCTTGATAACATGTACACAAGTCTCAAAGAAAAATGGAAAAGGTAATAGCCAATCACGACGTGACATCAGCCCACAGCATTAGCCCATCCTCAGTCATGACAGAGCAATATCGATTTTTTCGGCATTGTTTAAATTTTGACTGTTTCTTCACACTTATTACACGTCTGAAGACGAGCTGGGGAACCAGACTCGAAAATTTACGAAATAAAGTTTGTTCATTTTCCCAAAGGACTCATTCTTCTTCGAATTATGTTTCTTGGGATGCCCATCTTCCAATATATATATATGAAGAAAAAGCATCCCTGTCATTTAAGACAGGTATGACCGCCTTCTATAATTTTGGTTGAATAGTAGTTACTTAGATTATTTTTCAACTGCGTCTCGTTTCAAGTGAAAAGTACATACAGAAAGCTATTCTTAAACAGGTTTTCATGCTCAAAAACATTTTCTGCCTATCAGATCTCATTTCAGCACGCTGAGTGCTAGTCTTGGTGTGGGGGTGGGTGGTGACTTGAAATGAAGTAAGTTTTGAACTTTGCGAAACAGCGAACAGGCGGATTCCCACAGATCTGGGCTCCTACGATGCCACTGCAGCTTAGAATTTCTAGGCGTGACAAAAACAGTCCTGGCAGTTTGAAATAAATTTTATTGCTCGCACATACGCGCATATTCTCATTCAACCCAGAAGGCGCTCAAAAACATCTCTTTTTTCTATCAGGGCTGCAGCACGTATCGTGTTGCCCATTTTACTGGCGCCACGTGAGATAGTTTGTTTTTATTGCCTTGCGTGTGCGCATGACGACAATGGGACGCCATGATGGTCCAGCGAGAACACTTTTCTGGAACCTAGGGATTTGTCTCGAGTGGGAGTCTAACTACTTAGGTGCTTTCAGCTCACGATGACTCATTGCCACCTCGCAATGGATCTGCCGCCCCCAACCCCCAAAACGTTTTCCCGTCGGCTTTGAGATGATGGTATTATCTTTCCAGAGCTCTACCGCTGCAGACGAGTGCTGAGCCCCGATGAAAACTTATCGGAGTTTCTGACTTAAGTTTACCTTGGGATACATTTGACACAATCAAGAACCCTTATGAATAGTTTTACCTAGGCATCAAGATTTCTGACTGTTTCTTGACAGAAAATTCCAGTATTTGTGCTTCGTACGTTTAGTAACACTTACGAAGCTAAGAGTACTGATGACGCGGAGGGTATTTCTGAAGACACGCCTAGAGAGAGGTCGATGATAGCAGAGTTAGTTTCCTAGTGCACGGCATTTCCCGTAAAACCAGTCGATTCATGCTATGGATGTGATTAAACCGCTCGTAGCCGAAGGGCTTCGAAGTTTCACCTTTCCAAAGACGACTAAACAAACCGCAGGAGTTGACGAGTGTTCAAGACTTACTATACGTTCGGTAAACGTCTGAATTCAGGGCCAATCATCTACAGGTCCGTTAGTCAGTGAGTAAAATGCCTATCTTCCTTTGTCCGCGATGAAAGAACTGAGAAAACTCAGGAAAATACGTCCATTTTAAAATTACGTTTGAGTTTGGGATGTCCCCTAAAATATTATTAATAAACGGGCACGCTAAATCCAGGCGCTTTGGCCTGGTTAAGTAATTTTCCCGACCACTGACATAGCCTCAGAATGCGTTAGGTGCATTTTGGCACATGGTGGCGTGACTAGTACAATGAACTTTCCGAGTTGAAATACCACCCACCTAAAAACCTGCCCCACAGTGTAAGTGCGAGTATTTTTAGCATAGAAACCTCGGGTTATTTTTAGAAAAATTCACCGCCTACAACATGACGTGTCCCGAATGAAGGCGAAATTTCGAGTTCCAGGTGAATGCATAAGTGAAGAAGAAGAAGAAGAAGAGTAGAGCACCGGAACACATTGTTTATTGTCCTGAGCTTTCAGACTTGTACAGGAGTTCATCGTCAGAGGTAGTAGCAGCAACAGAACAAGCTACAGACAGATGTGCTTGTTGAACGAAACCTTAACGGTGAACTGGAAACGACGGTTTATAGGAAGGCAACGAACACCACACAGCTTCTCAGTTTTCACAGCAACCATCCGGTGGCTCACAAACGAAGCTGCGTGAAGACGCTCTTCAAACGGATCCGAACTCATTGCAGCAAACCGGAGGACAGAGCACGTGGGGCCCGTTATCTCCGCACCAGCTTGTGCAGAATGGCTATCCGAAAGCATTCATAAGTTGCTGCCTACGCGGTCGCCCCCAGACGACTCAAACAACACCACCGACGATATGGCATTCTCTGCAATACAGTAGATGTGCTAACTCATGAAATGTCAACCAAAATGTCGAAATGCGTTCTCGTTTCGAAAAGATAAATTAAGTAGTGTTGTAAAAATAATCATGACGCAGCATTAATCTATAATGATCCAGTCACCTCAGGGTGTCGGCTTCCGAAGGAACTTATTTTTCGGTTGCATACAAGATTTATCCTCTTAAAAAATGACTACTTAAGTAGTATGCGAGTTTCTCATTGATTTTCGATGCCCTTGAAAATTCGATCATATTTCATGGAAAACATGCATAAAATATTCATTCTTTTACTTACTCGGTAGAAAAGGACGCCTTCTTCTAATTTTATACTCAAAATAAGAGTATAATTCGGTTTTAAAAAACGCTTCGAATTCCCAAATAATTTTGATCCCGACCTGCTGTTACACTTGCATTCAGGGTTTCAAAACTACAAGCTGTATATTTTCCGTGTACGGAAAACCATGCATTTTGTCTACGGTGTTAAGAGGATACCATATGATGTTCATAAAATTAAGCAGTGGATTTGAGCAATATTGTTAACTTTACAAGCCACATTCGTTAATGCAGATACATGCTGTTTCATGAACGGCCATTTAACGGTATTAAAAAATCTCACAATTAGAAACTTTTTTAAAACCGAATTATACTCTTATTTTGAGTATACAATTAGAAGAAGGCGTCCTTTTCTACCGAGTAAGTAAAAGAATGAATATTTTATGCATGTTTTCCATGAAATATGATCGAATTTTCAAGGGCATCGAAAATCAATGAGAAACTCGCATACTACTTAAGTAGTCATTTTTTTAAGAGGATAAATCTTGTATGCAACCGAAAAATAAGTTCCTTCGGAAGCCGACACCCTGAGGTGACTGGATCATTATAGATTAATGCTGCATCATGATTAGTTTTACAACACTACTTAATTTATCTTTTCGAAACGAGAACGCATTTCGACATTTTGGTTGACATTTCATGAGTTAGCACATCTACTGTACATCAAAGGTGTTTCAGAAGCGACCGAGCGCATGGCTGTGGACCTAGGTGTTGGAATTTTATGCCGCTCCAAAGCCACCATGCGCAAAAGGATCATGAAAATCAAAGACCAGTTAAAGCCTGAAAAGCAATCTGGAGTAGTGTATCTAATTCCATGTCAAAATTGTCCTTGTAACTACACACGACAGACTGGGCGCATGCTCGGACCGCGCATACACGAACATAAGCTGGCTGTGCGACGAGGCGACACATTTTTCACAAGTGGCCGCCCACACCTACGAAATGTGTCACGAGTTTAACTTCGCGGCCACCAAAATAGTCGTCCACGCCGGAAACAAATCAGTCCGAGAATTGATTTAAGCCTGGGCCTCGGATGAGAACTCGGCCAATCGATTTGTCGATCTGGCGCCGGCGTACAGAGTCTTGAGTAGTTACCTCCAGTCTTGCGCCGTCAGTCGATGATTGGCCTACATGCCTTATAACTTTCGCTTGTTCTGTTGCTGATACTACCTCTGACCATGGACTCCTGCTGGAGTCTGAAAGCTCAGGACAATAAACAAAGTGTTCCGGTGCTCTACTCTTCTTCTTCACTTATGACGTGTCGTCCTTGTACAGTTCAACCGAATGAAATCCGTGCTGGCATCTATTTAACACACACACATGATACGTCGATCATTGATTTCGACGATGTTCCCAATGTGCTCAACGGAGGGGTAGGAGGAGAAACGGCGACTTGCATGTGAATTAGTTTGTAGTGGTAGCGGACTTGCGCAACATCTACCGCACTCCGTCATTCCCGCCTGCACCCGGTCTCGTGACTAAGTCAAGAACACCGGAGGTAGAAGAGGCCACTTATGCGTACCATCACACACTTCTGGTCCACAACAAACACTTGGCCATGACTTTCAGCAGCAGCAGCAGCAGCAGCAGCAGCAGCAGCAGCAGCAGCAGCAGCAGCAGCAGCAGCAGCAACAACAACAACAACAACAACAACAACAACAACAACAGTGAAAGTGGAGGGCGGCTCGGATCCCACTTGGCGTGACATGAGCCTGCAACTAGGCCTGCCACCGCACCCCGAATGTTGGCACTTGTTATGGGTGCGTTGGCCGGCGAGCTGGTTGCCCTTCGCAACGACAGTGCGCGCGACAGAACGGATAGCGTTGCCTGGTAGGGAGTACTTTGTCCCCATGAAATCGCCGGTTGAGAAGGCAATGACCTCCTCCTTCAGTGAACCCGTACTGAACAGCGTTTTCTACTAACAAACACCTTCTTTCGCCTTCGGACATGGGAGATTCGATCGGGGTGCATATGTAGGGCCTTCTGCCGCTGGCACCTGCACTGTGCTAGGAGCCATGTGGTCACGACTCCAAGCGCCAGGACGTGAACAAATACGGCCCCGATAATAACCAATCACAGACGCCCGCAAATTCCGCTACCAGGCCATCAAGTGGCCAGGTTGATACTGACTGACTCTCACGTGACCCTAGCGCACGGACATGCGCCGGCCTACAGCCGGCCCCGCGTTGGGGGTTTCTGACAGCCACCAGGCTTCTGTACAGAATATACTACTCCTACTGGTGTCTTTCCCCTTCTCCTCCAGAGCAGGACTGGGCCGTAATTGTTGTGTGCTGTTGCAGCTTATCTAACATCCATGACCGCCACTGTTTCTCCAGGTGCCGGTCTAACTGGCTGCTGACATGTAGGCGGCAAGCAGGCGAATTCGGTAAAACAATGTTTAACTTACCTAGTTATTGTCTACCTTGTGGCCTCCTGCGGGGGGGAGGGTGCAGACGAAGCTTCATCTTGGAGATTACAAGGAGCTGATCTGTGTAGACATCCGCGTCCGGATCAACTTGGTCGCTTGCACATCATGCCGCTATCACCGCCGGACGAAAACGTATTTCAGCAGTTGGCAAGACCGCAAGTGGGGGTGCACCCAGATCGTCGACAGGCGGAAGAAAGTGTTGGTTAGCAAGAGACCGTGTTCCCCGCAGGTTTGCAGGAGAAGTAAACCAATGGCATTGCAGTTGCGGATTCTGTGGGGACCCAGCACTCCCCTCCAGGCAGCACAGTTTATCCCGACGCGGGCATTGAAGTCGCCAGGGACAACCAGCTTATCCGCCATTGACACAGTCTCCGGGAGGGCGTGCGGGTTTTTGTAGAACTCGTTCATCGTCTCGCCGGAGTTGATCATTATGTGTCGTGGAGAATTTAGATCTCTGGCTAGGCAGGAGCATGTTCACCAGTCGTCGTTGACGCCCTGCGGCAAACAGAGCGGCAGTCCAACGATGTCGCTCCACATGGCAAAGGCGACGACAGCGTCACTTCGCTCTGCCTATGGGCGGCCGCTCCAGAAGAAGGTGTAGTCGGTGTCCAACTCCTTCAGTTGACCATACTGCTCAGTGTAGCAGTGTCAACCTAGGGCCTACAACCAGCCAACTAGCGCCTCGAACGCCGCCGATTCTCTACGGTGGCGTTGTCGACCGGGACCGGCAGTTTTGTAGCGCCTCAAACGAGATTGAGCCTTCTTCCTCTGGCACCCACGCTGCGCTAGTAGCCATTTGATCACGACCCCAAGCGCCAGGACATGAGCACATACGACCCCGATGATAGCCCATCACAGACGTCCGCAAATTCCGCTACCACCCAATCAAGTGGCCAGGCTGATACTGACTGACTCCCATGTGACGATGATTTACTAATGCCCACGTGACTCTAATGCACGGACATGCGCCGGCCTACAGCCGGCCCCGCGTTGGGGGGTTCTGACAGCCACTAGGCTTTTGTACAGAAGATACTACTCCTACTGGTGTCTGTACCCTTCTCCTCTAAAGGCGGACTGGGGCATAATTATCCTGGCGCGCTGAATACGCCCTCACTGCTTAGACGCCACACATCCCTACTTACAGCGCTGGCAGCTGCTGGACTATGTTCTCGTTTGGAGGCAAGATCGCCCGGAAGATGATGGCGATTAAGGCTATCCGCGATGCCGATGGTTAGACGGATCACAGTCTCGTCCTCTTCAAGATGAGGCTCAGACTGTAACCTCACAGGGAACCACTAGGTAGGCGAACATCAGGTTAGTAAACTACCGTCCTCTCGAATTTTCCATACTCGCTACTTCGATTTCAGAAATCGGATGACCCTGCGACTGAAAGATCGCCAAGTTTCACATGAAAAGGACGTCGCGAAGACGCCATGATGTCAATTATGGAATGCTATCCACTCCACCGTTTGGGATGTCCACGGAGGTGCAGATGGTCAGCAGCAGTTCTGGTTGGACGACAAGGACGCAGACATCTGCAACCTGCTGGCCGAAGGGAACAGATTGAACAAACTTGAAGAAGGAGACACGATCGCTTGGACAAGAGCCTTATTAGCCTGACGTTTTGGATTCCTGCTCGAACCTATCATCAGAGACAAAAGCAGATACGGGTGGTTTATACACAAGGGTCTGCAATATTTATAGGATGTAATAGCCATGCTACCTCATACCTATGAATATTCACGGCTCCCCCCTTCATCAGGGATAGATGCATGTGGTGTGATGGCCGACATTTGCGTCGTTAATTGCTGCAATTTCATCACGCGCGTTGGATGTTGGTGTGATGATTGCTCAACCATCTGACGCGCTGACCCGTATCTGCTATTGTCTCTGATGATGGGTTCGAGCAGGAATCCGAAACGTCAGGCTAATAAAGCTCTTGTCCCAGCGATCGTGTCTCCTTCTTCAAGACTGCTTCCAGGGACTAGTCTCTTCGCTTCTATTGGCAGATTGAACAAAGCCTGCATCAATCGCCGGACCAACGCACACAGGGCGACCTTCTTCTGCTATCACAACCTTGTGCGGCAACGACTGCGGGAGATGCAGGATGACTGGACGGCTTGCAAGGCCGATGGGTGTGCGGAGAGCAACGAAACAGACAACGTCCTTGCATTAATGAAGGCGGCTTACGGCCCCACAGCGAACCTCACCGCTTCTCGGCTCTGAAGGAGAAATCACACATTCTGAAGCGTTGGGCCGAGCACTTCAGAACCGTCTTCAACCGCCCACACACAATCTGCGTCGCCGTCATCGACCAACTCCCTCGAGTGGAGAGGAACAGTGGTCTGGACCTCCAGCATTTCCTCTCAGAAACCATCCGATTTGTGCAACAACTCTCTAACAGGAGAGCTCCGGGATTCGGCGTGATTCCGTTCGGCGGCTCCCCATTTATTGGGGAATTGTCACCGATACACGAGAAGATGTGACGTCAAGAACAAGTTCCTCAGGCTTTTGAGGACGCGACAATCGTCTATCTCTACAGTCGCGAAAAGTACAGGCGATTATAATAATCACAACGAAATCTTACTGCTGGACGATGTCAGAAAGATCATTGCTCGCATCCTTCTGGATCGTCTCAATACTCATCTGGAACACGGACTTCTCCCAGAGAGCCGGTGTGCCTTCAGACAACACTGTAACACCACCGACATGATCTTCGTTGTCCACAAACTACAAGAGAAGTATCTTGAAATTATGTTCAGCCTTCATCGCCACTGAGATTCCATTTAAGTAATATCGCCAACTTAAATGTGCGCCGAATAATTCTCGACGCAAGCGGTAATTTGCCCACCAACGAACCAATGCTTCATTCCATAGCTGTTTTCCACCTCTCCAAGGACAAGTTATATTGGTAAGATATGGTTATGCAGGCTAGCCGATCATTTAGTGCTTCTTCGCCATGATAACTCGCTCTGAAAATACCTGAAGCAGTCCCATTTCATGTTACTTTTGGGGGCTCCCATATCTCTGCCACTTTTTCCTTAAGAGTCATGCAATGAAATATTCTGTACAGACCAATCGGCTGGTTGTCGAGAGAGGGCAGCAATATCGGTAGTCAGAGAATCCATCATCTCAAAGACGAAATTATGGTCCGTATGATGCGAGCGTTGACAAAACCTACCACTCTTCCTGCAAGCATTTTTTCGGGGTAAATCTTCGATATTCTCTAACATAGAGTTATTTGATGATCCGATGAACGACTTCGGAAAGGAAGTGAGTAAGATGTGGTTATGTAGTCGCATCTGATGGAGACAATATTGTTGACCTTCTTCGTTATTTTGAGTTGGTGTGCTTACGTTGGCATTGCGTCACTGTGCGTTGCGGTGTGTTTTTTGGCGGCCATGTTTCTTTGTTGCCGTATCTCCTTTTTTGGCCCAATTTCGGTGCTCCTTCTTGACTTTTGGCCTCCCGTCTCCTTCTAAATTTCGCGTTGGATGTTTCGGGGTTTGGGACTGCAGTTCAGGGCTAGGGTTAGGTTTTAGGGCTTAGTGGTAAGGGTTGGGGTTTGGGGTGAGGGTTGAAGGTTAGATTTATCGGTTAGGTTTGGAGTTGGGGGTTAAGGCAACTATTTCTTAAGCATTCAAAGTACAACCGCGCCGTCAAGTAGCTTTTCGTCTGCACGCAATTACTTGATCTCGCCACCTTTGCGTTCCCCGGCCCACCTGTAAAAACCCTTTTATTACCGGTCCCGTTTTACGGGTGACAGAGGTTCGTTTACCTGAGCTGCGGCTACATAGCCACATCCGATCCTAAAATACTTACCAGATAACCCACGCGGAGTTACCGATTAGCTGAATTTAAGCTGTCCCAGGCAGCGGTAAAATATCGGCAAAACTCGTGTTTGGGCTGTCAGTATGGTGAAAGTTCTAGAACATATTGTTGAGGTATTAGCATTCGGAAACTCGACTTCCCTTTGTCAATTGGATTC